AGGTCATACTTAGGACCTCACCTACGGTGTGTGTCCGCAGAAGAAGGTGATTATGTGTTACGGGAAGTACATGAAGGTTGCTGTGGCGATCACATTAAGGCACGGGCCTTAGTGGGTAAGGTGTTGCGAGCTGGGTACTTTTGGCTAACGATGAGGGCCATGGCGAGGGAGCTAGTCCAAAAATGTGTCAATTGCCAGAAACATGGACAACTCATTCATATACCTGTGGAGGAATTAGTGTCGATGGGTTCCCCAGTGTCGTTTGCCCAATGGGGAACGGACATTGTAGGGCCTTTTCCACAGGGATCTGGGCAGAGGAAGTTTTTGTTGGTTCTGGTGGATTACTTTAGTAAATGGGTGGAGGCGGAGGCAATGGCGAAAATAACTGAAGAGAAGGTCATAAAATTCTTGTTCACTAACGTTTGCTGCAGATATGGTATTCCCCGAGTGCTGGTTTCGGATAATGGCCCGCAGTTTCGGGGAAAGAAAATATTGGCTTGGTGTGAAGAAATGGGCATCAAACAGCACTTCGCCTCTGTGGCTCATCCTCAAGCAAATGGGCAGGCGGAGGTGGCTAACAGAACCATACTGAGGGGGTTGCAAACTCGACTGGGCAACGCCTCGGGTGCATGGGTGGATGAGCTTAACGCAGTGCTTTGGTCGTACAGGACGACCCCAAGATCAACAACAGGTGAAACACCTTTTAGCCTTGTATATGGGATGGAAGCTGTGATCCCGGTGGAGGTTGGCCTCGGTTCACAAAGGACAACCACTTTTGAGGAAGGGCAGAATGAGGAGCTGGTCAAGGAGGCGCTCGAGTTAGTGGATGAAGCACGAGATCAAGCTTGGTTGAGGACTATGCAATATAAGCAAAAGATGTGCTTAGCCCATTCCAAGAAGGTGAAGGAGAGGCATTTCCAGGTTGGTGACCTAGTCTGGAGGAGGGCTGATGTACTGAGGCATGTTGGTAAGCTCGAGCCAAATTGGGAAGGCCCGTTTATCATTCAACGGGTGTTTGCGGGAGGAGCGTATGAGCTAAAGGACCCAGAGGGTAAGGTCTTCCCTAGGCCATGGAATATCGCTAACCTTAAGAGATACTATTGCTAGTTTGTTATTAGTCTAATGGTACTTGGAGTTATGTTTGCAATATTTTTGCTTTGGACTGCTCACGTTGATAGTGACCACTTTCATTTGTTTGGAATAAAGACTTAGTACAATTAAAGTACGTTTGCAAAGTACGTTTCAAGGGATTTTTTCTTTTGAGTACACTCATATAGTGTTTCAAAGGTGTCACAGTTTAAGGCCGAACTCTCACGAGTTCGGGTGCTGTTACGAAGGTGTGACAGTTTAAAGCCGAACTCTCGCGAGTTCGGGTGTTGTTCTAAAAGGTGTGACAGTTTAAGGCCGAACTCTCGCGAGTTCGGGTGCTGTTCCAAAGGTGTGACAGTAAAAGGCCGGACTCTCACGAGTTCGGGTGCTGTTCCAAAGGTGTGACAGTTTAAGGCCGAACTCTCGCGAGTTCGGGTGCTGTTCCAAAGGTGTGACAGTTTAAGGCCGAACTCTCGCGAGTTCGGGTGCTGTTCCAAAGGTGAGACAGTTTAAGGCCGAACTCTCACGAGCTCGGGTGTTGTTCCAAAGGTGTGACAGTTTAAGGCTGAACCCTCACGAGTTCGGGTGTTGTTCCAAAGGTGTAACAGTTTAGGACAGACTCTCATTAGTTCAGTGTTACCCCAAGGACGTAACGGCTTAAGGCAAAACTCCCAGGAGTTTGGGTGTTGTCTCAAGTGGTGTGGTGATTTCATACCGATTTGGGATATGGTGAGCGCGAGCGTGACGAATCAGGGTTGCGCTCGTATACCTGTGAAGTATCTACTAGTGTCGGGATCGAGCAAGTGAATTTAGATCCACTTGTGCGTCTAAAGTATGGGTCTGGGTCACAGCCAGTGTGGCTCGGTTGAGAACCGAGCAGGTGCTCCTGGCGCATTGGTTCACGGTTTCGTCTCCTCAGACCGAACCTATGGATTTCTGAAATTTAGTGCTCGGTCTTCGCGCATCGTAGTGCTCGGTTTGTTTCCAGATTGTAGCGCTCGGTTCTCTTCGAGGCTTTGCGCTCGTTTCCCTCGAGCATGGGTGTGCTCGATTTCGTCCCTTTAGACCGAGCTTAAGGCTTTTTGACGTATAGTACTCGGTCTTACGGATCGTAGTGCTCGGTTCTTTTTAACATCCTTGTGCTCGGTTTCCTCGATTCAATACAGTCGGTTATTACACGTTTTTGAGCATTAGTGTGCTCGGTTTCATCTTATCGTAAGGCTCGGTTCTTTTTCAGGCCGAGCAAACGGTAACATGACCTTTGTGGTCGGTTTTATCTCAATGACATAGGTTATTCTATGTGTTTTATGCTCGACTCAGGATAAATTGTGGGTTCGTCCTCGATCGTATTTGCAAGCATCGGGCAGATATTACGAAGGATAAATTAACATGCGATTGATATATATAAATTAACGCGCGATTGATATATAATCATTATATGATGTCCGAATAGTAAGGGGACCATCATATGATAACCATTGAATACACTACCACAAAACGTGCCAACAAAACACTAATATTACAGCAAAAGAGACAGAGGGTTAGAGTGTCAAGTACTCATCCATGTCTTTACGAAGGCATAAGGGCATAAATATCTAGGCGGGAGCATCATGGTCCCTGGAGGCATTCGGTTCGGTTTGAGAGGACGTCGCACCTTCCTCGAGGGGCGCATTTTCTTCTACCTGATGACTCTGTTCTGGGTTGGGCTCGATGTGAGCATTTTCAGCGTTTGACGCCTTCTCTGCTGCTTTCTTTTCTTCCTCGAGGATTTGCATCGTAGTCTCGAGGGCCGGCTCCCACCATGGATAAGTGAGTGGAAGGTTTGGGTCACCGGCCCATCCCTCTGGATCAGAGAGCTTGCGGGTCAACTCGGCCTCATCATAGCTATCTACCTTACCTGTGGCCCGGGCTTGCTCGAGTGCTCGCATGGCCCCAACGAATAGGTACTGCAGCGCGGTTGGTTTCAGTTCTGCTAAAAACGGCATTGAGTCATGGTAGAGGTCGAGCATTTCCTCTCGGTACACCTGGAGGAATCGGACTCCGTCGGGCGATGTAAGGAGGGTATGGAGGGTCTCCTGCCTAGCCGTAGCTTCTTTAGTGGCCGCCTCCTGCATGGTTCCTTCGAGCTTCATTCGGAGCGTGTTCACTTCTTGTTGATGGTGAGTGGCTGCCAGCTCCAACGATTCAACCAACTCCTGAGCCACTTTAAGATCGGCCTCCACCTTCTTATTTTTGATGACCTCCGCATCATAAGCTGCTTTCATCTTGAGATGATCGGCGACGGAGGGCGCTTCACCCGCTATGGCCTCATGGAGCATACCGGCCAGCCTAGAATTCAGCTGCAAAGGTGTGGAACAGATTACTGATATAGGTAGAGGGGTATATGAACAACGAAGTGGTACAAGACACATTTACCTCGACCAGATGCTTCAAGCAGAATTCGGCTCGTCGTTTTTTATCCTCGCCCCAACGGGTGGCTTCCTTACCTGGAAACATGGAGCGTAAGTAGGAGGCTTGTGCCAACGGATCTTGATGGGTGATGAATGTTGAAGCCCGCGGAGGATCCATTGGCCGCGGAGGGTTCTCTATTTCACCAGGCCCCTTGCGTTTTCGTGCGCTGGGAACGATTTTCTTTAGCAGCTCCTCATCTAATAGTGGATTTGGGGATGATGGATGTTGTGAGGAGCTCGTACCGGCAGCGGCGGGCCTTGCTCATTTCCTTTTCTCTCTTGGATGGGTGACGACTTCCGATACGAGCTTATCTGCAAATATATAGCAAATTCATTAATGCACATGTCAAAAAAAAAAAGGTTAAAGGGGAAAAAGAGCGTAGCGTCACACGTAAAGAATTAAAACCTAAGCCGAGCGTGTTAACTTTTTGATTGGTGAGTTTGTAAAACGAACAAAGTTCGGCGGGCATGGTTAACTTTTTGATACCGTAAGGGGTTTTATTCCATTTAGCTATACGCTCGTGGAACTGAGTCACTTTCTTCGGCGGGGTTTCCGTCTCTATATTGGTGCGCCAGTCCGGATTGAATCTAAAAGTGCCTTGAGGAGGTTTGAGGAAAACGAAGCGACTCTTCCAGTGCTTGATCTTATTGTTCAACCCACTGAGAAAGTTAGCTCCCCTTCGAGCACTAAGGTAATAGGATCCGCTTTGGTGTGGGTGAAGGCCGTAACAGTAATGGAAGAATTCGGGATCTAATTTACCAAGGTGGTAATGGCTGAGGATTGTATAGGCTATAAGGATTCGGATGCTATTGGGTACTAGTTGGTTGATGGGAAAGTTGTAAAGATCGGTTAAGGTAAGCAAATCGGGTCTAATGGGAAATCTGAGACCGCATTTTACTTGGTGAACGAAAAAGGTGTAGAAGCCTTCCGGTGGTCGGTTATATGAGCTACCCGGTGAGGGTGTTTGGAACGTCCAATCGGGAGGTAATTCGCACCATCTTATGAAGGCGTGAATTTCATCCTCACCGGCATGGAAAAACGGATTTTGTCGCATCATGGCAACGACTTTTGGACCTAAAATGGTTCTAAGATTCACCAAGGGATCGATGTTTAGTGTAATGTTCGCTTGTCGAGCACGTAATTCAGAAGCGGGTAAGGGAACACCACGATAGCGATCATCATCATCATCATCATCTAGGAGTTCCTCGGGCGATAGGCTCGAGTCGGCGTTGGATGGCTCGGAGGCCGTAGGCGCCGTCACGGAGTCCGGGTTATGTGCATCTACAACAGACATAACAAGAGGGGTGTAAGAACAATGGGTATGAGCATGAGCGGGGAACGTCGATTGTAGAGTTTTCTCGCTAACGAATTAACTGACAAAGAGAATTGGTGATTTAGGGTGATAAGCCTATGTGGTAATTTGCCCAAATGCAACAACATGAATCGAGAATGCGGAGGAGATGTTAGGGGGTGATGACTTACCCATGGTTCCCAGAGCGGATGGCCGGAAGGAGAGCACGGGAGTCGTGCAGTGTCACCGGAAAAATAGAGGAGTGGCCGCCGATAATTATTGTCTTGGAGAGGACATGGGAGCTCAAGACATGTATGAATTTGAGATGGTGGGGAGTGAAGTGGAATAAGTGTGAGTGATATATAGAGAGGGAATGCAAGACTCTTTGTCTTCTATCATTGTTTTCAAATTTCGAAAATTTGAATTTCAAAATTCGAATTTCAAAAAATTGGGGGGGGCAAGCACCATGTCTTGGTGTAGGAGCCAATGCTATGACACCTAGTGAGCACATCTTCCCACACTTTGGGGCGGAACTCGAGGTATGACTTGCTATGGATTGAGACATTTCATGAGGACACACCCTCCCAAGGCCTATGCTCGGTTATGGGGTGCTCGCACGGCTACATTTTGTTTATTTGATTTTCGTTGTTCCAAGGCCTATGCTCGGTTTCATGTGCACATACGACAAGGTTCAGTGTCAAGAATTTTTCCACATGGATACTTGGTTGTTTGCTCGGTTTCTTGCAGATAGAACAGGTAGAACCCGCATTCTAATATGCGAGAGACGCTCGGTTTATTTGCTCATAAACCGGGCATGATGCAAAGTATAGGGTCTGCTCGGTTGCTTAGAGATAGAGCATGTAAAAGACCCACTTGTTGACATGAGGAAGGGTTCGTTTTTTCCTATGTACCGAGTATGATTATGCGTGTAGGAGTTTGCTCGTTGATGCGCGTAGGAGATTGCTCGGTCTCGCTTAGTAACGAAACCGATCGCTGGAAGGGAAATAGCAAGCTTCATTGGAGAGTCTTTTTTAATTCCAACAATTGATTTCAAATTCAAGTTTTAAACTCAGTGGTTAGCAGGTTAAGGTTTGGTGGGAAAGCCAAAGCCATGTCAGGTTTTTCTTATTTTTTGCATTGACAGGTACAGTCCAAAGATGGGCTCGCAATTCGAGGCAAGCTTTTTCTTGGCATTCAGACATTTTCTTATGGAGCAGTGATTATCAAACTGAGTCCATCGGGCTTGAACAGCTGTGGCTCTTTTGATAATAGGGGGCTAGATGATATGGCACATAAGTGTGATATGGTTAACTTGGTAGATATTCAGTCCGGTTTTTATGGATACGCTCGGACCAGTAATAAGGTCCTGCAGATTAGTTTTGCTAAATGGGTGGCCCAGTCCATTTACATATCCAATCTATTGGGATATGCCCATTTCTTAAACGCGGACTCGGTTAAGTGTGATCCGCTCGGCCCACGTTGACTGCAGCATAATGGGCTCGGCCCATATAAGAATCAGAGTAACGGAGATCCAGAAGAATGGGATAGAGAAAAGGTGAAGCGTAAGGTATAATAAGCTAAGCATTGAGGTATAAATAGGTAAAGGGAGAACACGGTAAGACATCAAGTCACAAAACTCTAATATACAAACTGTGCTTTTCTGGGATACCCTACTTACTTGAGCGTCGGATGTTTACCGCCAGGAACATCTCCCGGCGTCCTTGCAGGTGTCCAAAGGCTCAGGAGCTATGTTTACCGCCAGGAACATCTCCCGGCGTCCTTGCAGGTGTCCAAAGGCTCAGGAGGTAGGAGATCGAGGAAGGCCGGTCCAATGTGCAATAGCACATCATATATATATTTCTGTCTTTTCGAAATCCTCGATGATCTTTTGTATATGTTGGATTAATTTTATGTATTGATGATTTGTAATAGAATTGCATCATCCTGTGTACGGAATCTCTGGAATTTCTGCATCTACTCGTAGATCACCTCTCAGTGCCGCCGCTATTGTGGTGTCCTCCCCTCAATTGGATCCCAATCCTACGATACAGGTAAGGTTTGATTCAATTTTTCAATTGTGTTTGTATTTTAATCATGACTCATGAAAGTGTATATATGTATCTGTAGATTTATCAGGACAGCAGCAGCCGCAACAAAAGGGCAAGGACGAGAATTGAAGAAGTTTCCCGTGATGGAGCATTAGGATTTTTGTCGAGAATCAATGAAGATATATTGTTGGAGATCTTCCTTAGACTCTCTAACTGTCGATATGCTATTCAATCGAGCTCTGTTTGTCGGCATTGGCATGAATTGATCTCTCAACCCCAATTCATCCCTAGGTTCACCCGTCTCCATCAAGATTTGGATAAATCATATACCATTCTTTTCCGCATGAATTATTTTTTCTGTGGGGATTGCCCAGAGTATTATCAATTGGTTGCAACTCTTTACTCCAATGAGTCTTTGCTTCTCCATGGCAAGCATGCATTATCATCATCGTCCAACTACCCCGATTTTATGGGGCCGATGCTTATGATCATTAGGGCATCATGCAACGACTTGTTGCTTGTGTCCCCTGATTGCCGTCAGCGAGTGGGAAGAAACAATCCACCGAGGTATTACATTTGTAATCCGGTGACTAAAAAGTGGTTTCTCATTCCTAGGGATGCTCCTTATGGATTTATAATTGGGTTTGCATTAATATGCACGCCCGATTCTAGCGGGCCATACAAGGTGGTAATACTTGACTTTCTTATTCTTGATCATGAAACGGAGGAAGTTCCTGATGGCCACTACATACAACCAGTTCTTGTGTTTTGCTCAGAGTCACAGCAGTGGACCAAATCTTCCTTCTTGGTGCCTAGGCGTGCAAGAAATGACTATAGCGTTGACTTGAATATTGTTGTGTGCAATGGGACTCTGTACTGGATGGACGGTTTATATAAACGTGACGGGTTGTTTGTTTAGATTGGGACAACAATCATTGTTCTGTTATTTACTTCCCGGACATTGTGCGTAACAGCACAAGTGAGGGGCCCAACTCGAGGACCCACCTTGGAGTTGTGATGGACGAGTTGAGGTTGTTGCACGTTTTGAAGGCTGGGCCGGGCCGGAAATGCTTCGTCGTGGGGGTTTGGGAGTTGGACCGTCGGGATTGTTCGTGGGCATTGGTCGGTCAAAGGGAGTTGACTTTTTCGGAGGATGACTACGACAGGGATGCATTGGTCGGTGCCGCTTTTCATCCGAAAGATTGTGACTCGATTTTCGTTGTGTGTGGAAAGAGTGTTTACGAGTGTGCGGTTTCAAAGGACAAATGTCGCAAGCTTGGGGAGATTCGAGAATCTATAGGCGACGAGAGTCTCGCGGCCTTTGTTCTGACACATCCACTGTGGCCTACGCCAGTTCCATGTGTTTAGTTGGAGCTTGGTGTTCGACTCCACTCGTTTCAAGTTTCAGGACGTTTATCATATAATTATATCATTTTTTTGTCTTCGTGTGTTTATCATATATTTTGTTGAAGGTTACAAAATTGGGATATGACTAATTTATAAAAGTTGGAGTACGGTTTCATTGCTATTTGTATGTATACTATAAAATTTATTGTGCAGTATGGGATAATGGCCAGCAGGTTCAGCTTGAACAACCTGAGCAAGGGAATGAGGATTAGGCGGTGAGTCGAACACGAATGTGCTTGCTTGCTTGCTTTATTGGTCGAGCCTTTTTTCTTTTAGAAATATATATAAGAATTTTATACTTTTTTGGTTTGATAATTCAAGTGTTAAGATTTGAGTTCGATGTCTGTGACTGAAACTACCAATTGTATTGTGAGGGTTTCATGGAGAGGTTATTGATTTTTATTTTGTTTTTCCTCTCAATATTAACAGGTTAAGCATACTTTTTTGATGATTATGTTACAGAAAGTTCACCTGGCAAGTGAAAACGGACAGAGTTGTTAGTGTGGTTCTGTAGTTTCGGTGTTTATTTGGCTGTTATTCTCCATTTGTTTAGTCTTTCGTTCGCTTTAGTGTGGTTTAGTTTGTGCTTGTTGGATTCTAGGCTACCTTGGATTAGACCTCTCTAAG